TCCAGGCTCAGTGAGCTCCAGGCTCAGTGAGCTCCAGGCTCAGTGAGTGACTCTGTCTCAAAAAGGAAGGTGGAGGTGACTGAAGACAGCCACCATCAACCTCTAGCCTCCACGGGCACGGATACCCATGGGCACACCCAGCTGTTTGCATGTGTACACACATACAACACATACACACACACTCATTTTTAAAAGGGGGGACTGGTGCCTTGGTTGTGTGTGGGGGCGCAGTGGGTGAAGACAAAGTTTTGATTTGACAGCTTGAGAGAGCTGTGAATTAAGCAGGACAAGCACTACATCCGTTTCGGAAGTAATTGGCTTGGCTCTCTGCTGTGGCCATCTTGAAATCCTTCACCCTCATGAACGGGGGCTCTGTGGTTTCTACAGCCGGCCCTGCTTGCCCTCCTTGAGAATGGCTCCTCTGCCGCTCTTCCCAGATGCCAGGAACGGCCATCTATTCAGGACCAAGCTGTCCCAGGAAGCTCCTAGACCTTCTGGCCTGCTTGCTCTTGTGCCCCGCAGCCTCTCCAAGGGTTGAAGGATGCCAGGCCCCATCAGCACTTCCCAAGAACACCATGGTCCTGCTGTGCACTGCTGCACATTCTGCTGAATAAATTAGTGCTCAACTCTCTCAATTCATCAGAGTCAAAACTCTCTAAAATAAGTTTAATTAAAACAAGAGGCTCTTGGGTTTTCCCAGACTAGATAGTGATCAAGCCCACTATGAACACTGGGTTTCTTAGTGTGTGTGTGTGTGTGTGTGTGTGTGTGTGTGTGTGTTTGGGCTGCTCCATGCCTTTGTCTTGGTCCAATTCTCTTCCTCTGAAGGTCTTTAAGAATATGGGATTAGATTCAAAACTGAGCCAGAGAGACAGGGAAGAGAGTCCTTGTACCCAGACTTTATAGATGCTCTAGAATTCTTTGTTGCTGTTGTTCTTTGTTGGCTGGTTATTTGGTTGGTTGGTTGTTTTGTTTTTCAAGACAGGGTTTCTCCGTGTAACAGCCCTAGCTGTCCTGGAACTCTCTCTCAAGACGAGGTTGTCCTTGAACTCACAAAGCTCTGCCTGCCTCTGCCTCTCGAGTGCTGGGATTAAAGGCGTGCACCACCACCGTCCTGCAAGAATCTTTTTTTAAAAAGTTTACTAGCATGGATGATAGAAAGTAGCTTTTCTAACGGCTCTTGCAAACCCTTCACCCTCCTATGCCCCGCCCCTCCTTCTGCCAAACGGCCTCATTCTCTCATTTATGTCTACCTGGTCTTGGTACTATGGTCACTTCTGGGGATCACTGACAGACATTGTAAGCAATAGGACTGTGAGTGTCACCCTGAAAAGTTTGTGTGGGTGTCAAAGGAAGGGCAGGGTGCCAGGGAAGATGCCAGCTTCCTCCCAACCTGCTTCCCAGCTGTCTTGATGTTTATATTCCAACACCCCACCCCACCCATGTCTCGTTCTACACTTTCCCAAACCGCGGCTCCCTCCCACCCTCTCCAGATGGATATGCAACTGGATATGCAGATGGATGTGTGTACAAGGCAAGGAAAAGCCCACAAACTAGAGCGAATGTCTAGATTCTTTTTTATTATTATGGATTTGACGTATCTTCTGAGTGCTGTCACAAAGAGTAGATTTGTCTTTGAGATACAATCTGGCCACTGGGCCAAACAGTGCTTATGTGATTTAAACATGCTAGCTAGAGCTCTAAGGAGTATGAGTTTGGATCCTGAAAACAATTTAAAAATCTATCTGTCTGTCTAGCTACCTATCTACAGTGCCTTTACTTTTAAGAGATCCCATAAAGGAGTTAAGTAGAAAATAGTTCCCCAATAAATAATTACTTCTCAAACTGTACACACCCCCAAAAACCATCACTCACCTCCCCTCCCCTCCCCAACAGATGGGCAGTCACACCTGGAATAACTTAGGAGGCGATCCTCCCAAGTTCAACATCTGGTTAAGGCCCCAGTTCACACACCAGCTAAAGTGTCTCCGCATGGTGCCCTTGGCACATGCCCAAAGACAGGTCCTCATTGTTGGGAAGTCTGGTGGGGAGGTGGGCAGACTGTCCCCAGCTGGGCCCGCATAGCAGAGTTTACATGGCAACTCAGGATCCACTCTCCAGCACACACTCTCTTCATGAACACAGCAGAGAGAGTTCAACTAAAAGATTTTGAACCATCAGGAGTTACAATTCCCAGTTGTTGCCAATTATATAGGTAAACAGGAATTTACATAATGTACAAAGAGTTTGTGTTTCCAGCTTATTTTGAAGTCACTCCCTAAAGATCCACATTTATTCATGAAAGCAGATATTTAGCCTAATAGCCTTGAGCTGGACTCTCCTCAGGGCAGCTCCCTGCAAGGCCGGCTTGGGAGCTCTGACACAGAGGCCATCCCGCAGAACAGCTCTTTGCTGTGTGCCCCAGAGTTCACAACCATCAGGAATGTGTTTTCTCTTGTTTGTCTCACAAATGTTGAGGTCACTTGTCCTCCTTTCCTTCCTACTTTTGAGATTCACTCTTTTGGAGAGGACCAAGCACAGCCAGACGTTTCTAAATTCCACAAACTGCAAGTTTACAGACTATGGCACGGCTAGGACTCAGGTCTCGAGTAGACAGAGGCCTTGCACCCTCTAACTTGGGCAGGCCTGGCAGGCTGCAGAGCAGGGCTGCTCCGGCCACATGGGTGTCCTGCATCTTCTAGGAGATGGTCGTGTGTTTACTTTTGTAAAGAGTCAGCCTGGTGTCCACTTACTCTCCAAGAGGAGTCATGTTAAATGCCAGTAAGTAGCTTTCAGACTTAACATACCTCCCAAACAATTCCCCGTGAAACCGGAGCTGCAGGCATCTGGCCCCCGGGGCACATCTGGGATCATTTTTCCCATTAGGGAAGCTGGGGTCTTTTGGACTTGGGCATTCTTGGGGTAGGGGTGTACTGGAAAGTGGGGGCTCTTTGGGTGGGTCTTTCTTCCAACCCCCCTTCAGGCCCATTCCCTCCTTGTCCCTAAAGAGGAAATTTGAACTGTGTAAGTAAGCACAATGGCTCTTTCCTGGAAGGCAGTTGGCAGGCAGGGAGAGCGAGGGTGAAGTTCGCTGCAGGAAGCAAGAAGCATAGGTAGCAGACTGCTACGGCTGGCGGCCTTCATCTGTCCTTGACTTCAACCTATTTCAAGGAAGGAGAACAAAAGGAAAAGGAGGGCGTCACTACAGCGTAGGCTCTTCCAACTTGAGGAGGTGATTTCTGGCCACACCTCTAGCGGTGTCCAGCCTGGAGTCCCCCTTCCCAGGGCTGAGCACAAAGGTGTGAAAAGAATAGCAGTGGGTGTGGCCACTGGGAGGCCTTCCAGCATCTTCCGTGTGACTCTGGCCGTTATTAACTCACGTCTCACAGAGAAGCAGGGAGGCTGGCTGAATCAAAGACTTTCCTCTGGCAGAAACTGTCTTCTAAGAACTTTACATGACTTAGAAGGTTCCGGAAGGCTACTTTGACAGGCTCCAGTGGGACTCCTGCCACCAAATTCAATCTCATTTCTGACTGAGTGTGTGGATGGGGTGAGGGGGAGGTGAGAGGGTCACTTCCGGTGTCGTCCCTCAGGACTAGCCACCTTTTCCCCCTTTTTTGGAAACAGGGTCTCTCTCTCATGGGGACCTGGAGCTGTTTGCTTAGGCTGGACTAGCTGTCCAGAGAGCCTCAGTGAGCGGTTTCTCCGCCACCCCATTCATCACTCTCAGGTTTGCGCAGTGAGAGCTGGACTGGTCGGATCGTCTCTCCAGTCTTTGATCTCAGCCTTTGATCACGTGACAGAACAATCATAACAGCATCACGTGACACACAGGCATACCAGCATCATGTGTTCTCTGCACGCAGCTCCTATGATGGCTGTTCTTTGGATAAGTCCCAGAACATCTATCCCTCTAGCTCCTCCTGTCTGAAACACCCCTCCCTCCCGTATCCTGTATCCGTGTACTTCTGTACACAATCACAGACCACAGCCTCCCCTGCACTTTCTGTCCTGTTTTCCTGTTCTTGCCTCAGTTCGTAGAGTCTGTATTTGTCTGCTGTCTGCTTTCATCACTAACAAACTAAAGAAGACTCATTGCCCCATTCTCCGCATGTCCAGGATAGTGAGCACCCAGCATGCAGCAGGTGCATAACAGGTCTTGGCTGAATGAATGCATGAGGAAATTAATAAATGATTCGATGGATAGATAACTTTAATCACACCATGCTCTCGCCAACCGAAGTTTGGTTGGGGTAGAAAAAAAGTGATAAAGAGAGAAAGGAAAGAAAGAAGAAAAGGAAGGAAGGAAGGAAGGAAGGAAGGAAAGAAGGAAGGAAGGAAGGAAGGAAGGAAAGAAGGAAGGAAGGAAGGAAGAAGGGGAGGCTGAGTGGGGACCAGCTGGAATCTGGCACATACTCTCTGAGGACCTGCTGTCTCCCCAACCTCTCTGCTTCCTTCCATTTTCTCTAGACCACTGGAAGTCATCTCATGAATTTGGGAAACTCCTATGTGTAGGCCTTGCTCTGATCTCCCCTGGTTATTCCCTGTTGGACCAGAAGCCTCCTCCAGGTTATTATTATAAAAATAAATTATCATCCCATTGCAAATGTGCGGCTGAGCCATCATTAATAATGATTTCTGATTGATAGAATTGTCAAATAAGCCCACCTCGCTTTCAGGAAGCCCTCAGGATTGTTCATACCAAATATCAACCAAAAAAAAAAAAAACCCAAAAAAAAAAAAAAAGAAAAAAACAAACCAACCAAACAAAGCCAGCACATAACAAACAAACAAACAGAAGCAGGTATTAAAGCAATAACAAAATGAGCTGGGAATGGTGTGTGTGGGGTCCACTGCCTGTGTGTGGAGAAATAATTTGACAGAGATCATTCTGTTAGAGAAGCAGAGACCAAGGTGGGGTTGACCATCTCAGTCCAGAGAGCTGTAAGAACAGCAGGTAGCTGGCTTGGCTGTCACCACCCTGGAACAAAGAGGGGCATGAGGCGCTCCAAAAGCACAGAGGGTTTACTGAGGACCAGAGAGGGGACAATAGAATGCATCAAGAGCTGACAGACCAAAAGGCGCCAGTGTCTATTGGTGGGGACCCCTGGGAGCTCTGGAGCCCCAATTGTCACTTATTGAGACCAGATGCCACCTCTTCACCCACCCTGTGCCCCTGAATGAATGCACCCCATCTTCACCTCTGACGTGTGCCTCTGGTCTCCTCCTTCTCTTCTGCAGCTGATTTTCCTGGTCTCCAGGAATCACTGTGGGGACACAGCAGATTTTCAGGAATTAGTATTTTCATGTGGTTGGTTTTGGGGTGTCAAACAACAACTTCCTCTTCCCCACCAACAAGCACATTAGTATATTCCCCAAGAACTGAGTTCCAAGCACCTACTGTAGGACTGAGGACTCAGTGGGTGGACGTCTGAGGAACAAACACACTCCTCACTGGATTCATAAAACCCCAGTTGGGGGAACAAAAGAGCAGCAAGCACCAGGCTTTCCAGATGGCAGAGCCCAGCCCTGTAGATACCACGCCCACCCGCTCGGCTTAGGGTTCTCTCTACTCATATAGGTTGTTGGGCTCATAAAGGAGGATACAGGAGTCTCATGGCCAAACCATTCCACCCTTCCTTCAGGCTGATGATAGGCTGTTCTGTCTATGGGGGCTTGATGAGTCTTTGCCCAGTGTGAAGGGAAGGAGGAGCCAAAAACTTTCTGCTATCCAAGGAACAGTGGTCCAGGTGGCCGCCCAAGGGCAAGTATGGTGGCTTCCACTCAAAATGGATTTATGTGCTTCTCTGTGCAGCTGAGAAGATCATGCAGTTTCAAACTCAAGAGAGGATATCCAGGGGTTACAGAGAAACCAAATGGGTAACCTGGGTCAAGAGGTCCTTTGTGTCAGGTGTTGAGAAGATCAACTACTGATTGCTGTTTGCAAAGAAACTAAAAATACACATGGCAATGGGTGGGGTCTTCACTCTTTAAACATTTCCAACTCATTCTGGCTCTTTATGGAGCTCCAGGCTGCAGAAGCTCTGGCCTCTGCTCTGAGAGGCAAGGGCGGTTGAGAACCTGGCCAAGCCACCCTTCACCCACTGTGTGAAGCCCCAGGTTTAGCTTTGCCCATCAGTGACCTGTACCTAGACATGAGTAGGATTAGAGGGTATGTCATACCTGTTGATATCTGCAGTGTGTGCACAGAAGAGTGCACAGGCCTTGTCATCTCTTTCCATACAAGCACAGCGCAAGCGTGTCCGTGAAGAAGGCTGGGAGCTGTTTGGAAATGGCCCAGAGGATCTCTTTCCTCGAAGGCTTCCTCTGTAGTTGGACAGTCCATAGGGCACAGTCTGTCTGCAGAGCATGGAGAGACATGAGGGGAGTCTGTCCTGCCACTCCAGGGCAAAGTACCCCACTATAGCATGCTAGATGGGAAACATCTGGAGGGAACCCAGTATCCAAATGGTTGGCAGAGATGGAAAGACACACAGGAGGCCCAGGGAAGACCTGATTGCCCTAGCGGCCATGCAGAATTGATACACCTCACTGAGGTGCCTGAAGCCAGGCTGCAAGCTCCTCCGGGTACACTGTTGGGTTTCTCTCTGCTGTGGGATGATACTCTTGTACACTGTAAAGATTTGTCACTTGTATTGGTTTAATAAAATGCTGATTGGCCAGTAGCCAGGAAGGAAGCATAGGTGGAGCAACGAGACTAGGAGAATTCTGGGAAGAGGAAAGGCAGAGACACCATTCCCAGCTAGACACAGAGGAAGCAAGATGTGAAAAGGTACCAAGCCACGCAGCTAAACACAGACAAGAGTTATGGGTTAAAGTTATAAGAGCTAGTTAGTAATAAGCCTGAGCAATATAGGCCAAACAGTTTATAATTAATATAAGCCTCTCTGTGTTTCTTTGGGACCAAATGGCTGTGGAACCAGGTGGGACAGAAATTTCTGTCTATATATCTCTTTTCCAAATTAAACCATGCAGGCTCCTGCATAGCAGGTCATAAGAATCAGCCCAGACCTCTAGCCCATCCCCAGTCCGTGTCAGGTAAAATCCCTGCACACATGAGGGCCTGAGTTAAACTCTCAGAATGCACACAGAGCTGGGTGTGTTGGCATGTGCTTAAACTCCCAGTACTATAGAGGAGTTAGGACAGGAGGATCCTTGGGGCTTGGTGGCCAGTCAGTCTAACTGTTTAAGCCAGTGAGAGAACTGTCCCATAGCAAGGTGGATGACTCCTAAGAGTGACACCTGAGGTTGACACCAGCCTCCTCATGCACACACACACAGACACACATACCCATGAGCCACTGGACTTCCCTGCCAAGAACACGTCCTTCATTTACCCAGTGCTCCTGACAAAGAAACCTGACTTGACCCATGTGCTGGTCCTTGTCTGGGGCCTGACTTGGTGCCTGTAAGGCCTTCCATGCCCGAGGCTGACCCTAGCAACTGTAGTGCTCCCTGAACGACTCCAGGGCAGGCCTGGGAGCTGGCACTAGGGAAAATGGGGCAGATGCAATTACAGTTCTTAGAAATCTACCCTGGCCCCTGGATGCAGCTTCCTCAAAGAGACAAACACCAGCGGGTATACTCGATGCTCTCCGGGAGCCGTCGCCACTACCTCAGTGGGGCGGCTAAGAACAGGAATTCATGGTGGGAAGGTCTTATTGAGCAGCAGAAACTGTCTGAAGGGATCAACCACTTCTGGTTATGGCCAGGATTGGGAGGCGTGTCATCTAGAGCAATAAACGTTTAAATCTGGTTTTAAGAGCGAGCACAGCCCAACCACGGCTCATTCTCCGGAGAGGAAAGACTCCTAGAGTTAAGTGAGAAAAAGTTAAAACCACATGCTTAATTCATTAACGTAACTGAACTTGGTCTGGGGTACACATTACTAAGAATCTGAGGAAACTTATGGGGCCAAAGGCCCTATTCCAGTAAGTCTGGGCCTTCTTGTTCATCCTCGTTTCTCTGAGTCCCACAGAGTATCACCAATTATCCACCTCAAAGGGTGGCCTCGAATCCTCTCTGTGTTTTCAAAATAAAATCAAATTGAATTTCTTTTCCTTAGAAGCACGCTGCTATGAAGTCTTTTTGGGGTCTTGAGGAGAGCCAGGCCGGGTGGTCTGTGGGGACCAGATGCTCACACAGCAGCCTGCTTCCCTGCTGGCGTGGAGACCTAAAAGAACCCCACCCACCCCCTGCCCCTCTTGCTTTTGCCCCTCCCTACCAAGCACCCTAAGAAGCGGCAGAGTGAGGTTCCTTGCCAACCCAGAGAGGCCCAGCTGCTGAGCGCTGCAGAGGGAGAAGGAAGGTCTTATTGGAACTTGGAGATTTCTCAGGAACAGGAGGTGGGGGGCGGGGAGAAGAATAATGTGGTCATTGTTGTGGGCCCAGATTTGGCTGAAGGTATATTTTTCCAGTAACAGGGTTACAGTAAATCTCTAAGTGTTGACATTAAAGCAGGTCCTCTGCTTCTTGGTGGAAATCACACATGAGGAACAGCCTGACTCCCATTTCTCCATCGACATCGAGACCTGCAGTCTTGAGAGGGTTGTCAGCTGACTGTGCATCGGTGGGTGCAGAGCCACTCAGAGGAAGCCGAACGCTCTGCCTAAAGTGTTTTAAAAGTAAGGAAATCAGACAACTGTGTGTTTGTTAATAGAGATGTGTTAGCACTTCCCCAGCAGCCTCAAGAAAAGCCATGTACAAATGCCCCTGACAGCTTCAAAGAGTGTTTACAGAGCTGAGCCCCCTCCCCAGGGGAGGGAAGGCTCTTAGGAGCCGGCCAGAGCTCCTTGGCATGTCCTCTCCAGTGAACATGCTATAGTGTTTGGAACAAGAGTTCAAACATAGAGGCCCACCTGCTCCAGATCTAAATATTAAAAGATTATTGGAAGATTTGATAAATGCTTCTAAGAGTCCTGTCCCTCAACCTGGAAAAATGACATTTATAATACCTCAGAATAGTCATCTTGCACTAGGGACCCACGTATTCACTGGAGTTCTCAGATAAAATATGACAACCAAATCAGCACTGACAACTTTTCTTCCATCTGGCTTCATCCCACACCAAGGCTGCCTCATCCATTCCCAGGCTGTATCCCAAGATCTATCTGCTCACAGCCTACAAGCACCTGTCCTGCAGACTGAATATATGCCTGGGCCCTATTGGATTCTTAAGTGTCAGACACTACATAATGTCTACACACAGCCTTAGAAGGGTCACAACTCAGAAGATTCAGGTAGGGGTATCCCAGGACTCAGAGAATACAGGGAACACTGTTTAGAAAGTGTGCTTTTTAGTTTCAGAGTCTCCTTGCAATGGGTAGAAGATCCATGGCCAAAGGAGGGCCACAGGTGGGCCTCTACATCAGAGCCAGGTCTGGGAGTTTTCTGCCCAGATCTGACTGCCGAAAACCTGCTCCTTCTGAACAGGGAACAGAGCTGGGCGTGGCAGCTAGCACCTGTGCTTCCAGCACTCAGGAGGTGGTGACAGAGGAAGGCTAATCTTGATTACATAACAAGGTTGAGGCTGGCTAGGGCTATGTGACTGTCTGGAAATCAAAGTCAAAGTCAACCAAACAGAGCAGGAAGCTGGCTTTTCACTTCTATACTAGTCCTGGACTTGACTCAAAGCAGAATAAGAATGAGGGAGGAGGATCACTTCCAGTAGACCTTAACCTCAGCTACACGGACCAGGGTGAGCTCGAGAATGAGATCTTGTCTCAGGAGAACAACCGCCATAACACACACACACACACACACACATACACACACACACACACACACACACACACACAAAGAAAAAAACAAATGAACGAACAAAAACAATCATTGAGCCTTTGGTTGCTAATTGTGAGGTAATCCCAGCTTAACAAGACCAGATTCTTTGCAGCGTAATGAGTTCAGTCACGGAAAACACGTTTCAAGAAACGTCACTGGCCAGGATTATTTTGAGTGCGAAATATAGATACACCCATGCCTATAACAATTCACATGCTACCGGGGGATGAAAATTGATAAAAGGGAGACGACAAGCATGTATATTCAGGCATAGAAACCATACAGAGTGCAGAGAGACTCCCCGGTAATTCCATTGTTAAGTTGTAAAGTGTTTACACAACCAGCACCCCATCCTTTCGGTATACAAAAAGACTGTCAGGCATTTGCTGGAATGAGATGCTCCATGGGAAAACGTTCAGCAAAGAGTGAGCAGTGGATGAAAATTAGGTCCTTTGATTATTTAATTGGTTTGAGAAGTTGTGCTTCACCTGTAGAAAAATCCCACTCACCAGGCCTGCTGTGTTTGCGATGTGTGACTAAGCAATAAAGGAACCAGAAAAATCACAGCAACACCATCCCCGCCTTCCCTCACTCTGGCAGGCAGGTCATGCACCACCGCCCACCTCACGAGAATCATTTGTGTTACCGCCCTTTGTCGCTATTCCCTGAATGAGCAACATGAGATACTTCATAGTGGAGCCCTGAAAGTGGAATTCAGTTGGCTGAGGGCCCACCTGTGACAGCTTACAGCTGAGCAGGAGGGTCTGAGAAGGCGATTCCTCATAGACAAGCAGCCCTTGCATCTGCTGATGTCAGTTGTACCACAGAGGCCCACACAAGGGAAGCAGATGAAGCGATGAATAAACAAAGCATTCTCCATCATACCTACATATGCAGTGTCTACTGCTCTGTGTGTTTGCGTAATAAATTATCTCTCAACTTACGTACGGAGAACACTCATCATTTAATCAGCGATGAAGATGCCAGAATCTTATTTACCACAGTGTCTTTATTTTTCAAGTTTTCCCAAATGTCATATATAAATGTTATTAAATATTAAACTCCCAAACGCCTGCATTCAGCCTTCATCTGCAGTGCCACACCAAACATCCTCCATTCATCTTGCCATGAGAAGTTTTCAAACAAGGAAAATGACTTTAAAACAAAACAAAAGTTTCTGGTTCTGGGTTCTTTCCTAGAGAAATGAGTGAGCTCTGCCCTTCTAACAGTGAAGCTGGCAGCTGCATGTGATGTGTAAGGATGGGCACAGATATAACAAGGGAGCAGCTGGGAATCGGCAGATGGGCATCACCTGCTGAGTTCAAACCCATCAGGGAAGTGGATCAAACAGGAAGAAACATCGTTCTTCGCTTCCCCGCTGAACGGTATTTAGCAGCACGTGCTGGAGAAGGGTCTGGGCAAGCATGTTAAAGCAGACAGAAGGGCCTGCACACGAAGCAAGGATTCACATTCAGGCTAGCATACTGGCATGGTCAGCGGCCTCCATCCAACAGTGTGCTGGTCGCCTTCTCTTGCACAACTCAGGGTTATCTGGGAGG